AAAAGAGAGAAGAAAAACAAAGCCGCCTTCAAAATTCAGTGCATTGCACATGAATAGAAAGTGAGGGACAGATAGCAATAACATTAGCTAGAGACCATGTACACCAATGCTGTACACTTCCTTGTGCAGCTTTGCCAGTGCAATTCAATTCTCACTTCCACAGTTTATTTCTTGGTACGTTTGTATCGCTGAGACAGGCAACCATGTTGGATGTTTGAGCTGGTGGATGTGATGATGCAGACAGACCTACACTATTGAAAATGCCGAAGCCACCAAATAAGCTTCTTTTTGACCTTGGCTGTATTAGAACTTGGGCTTCTACATGTGCAAAATGAGTACATATGCCTGCTCTGTGGTCAGCACAACCTAGGCAGAACAAGTATGTAGGTATCTGTGAGTGGTTTTGAATATGTTGCATAACCTTCAATAACAAAATCCTTTTTGGAATAATTATCAAATAATCATCTACACCTCAGTGACAGTTGTTCCTAATTCCTAGGTTCAGCTTTCTGGAAGTGTTAGGAGCCAGAAAAATCTATGTTTCCAAGACTGCAGTACTGCATTTTGCGTATGATTAATGCATTTCATGGCATATTCTGGTCTGGGCTGGTCACGTGACTCTTTTGTTTTATTTTTAAACTGGCTGGTAGTAACTAATGTAAGTTGATCTGTCCAATGTGGGTATTATCTACAAATGTTTTTATAATGCTCCTTTGCAGATTCGGTTGTAAGGAAGACAGTATGGTGGACTCTATTGTTTTTCACTGTTTATGTTTATAAGCCCTTCTCCCTAGTTTAAGTTTTCTTATTTACATTCCAGTTTCAGTGAGGAGGAGAAGAATTCATGTTTTCTAATTGGAGACTATATTCTGCAATAATACAAGTAGAATCTGTTAATTGTAATTGGAAAACTTCCCAATATTTAATGTTGTCTATGTTGTTATGTCTGTTTGTCATGTGGATCATGGTTGGCACATGAGTAAGTGCACATTTCAGCAGGTTTCCTGTTTGTTGTAGATGAAGGAAGAAAAAAATCACTAGTCAAGGTCCAACCTCATGGAAATTGGGAGATCTTTGAAATCAGTGGAGTTCTGCTTGCTCGCACCTGATCTGAGTTGACTTTAAGCATTGCATTTGCACGTAGCTATTCCCAGCATACTTGTACCAGTAAATACTTGGAATGCTAAGTATGAAGGATAGTAAAATTCAGAGGTACTGTCCAGTCACTTTCAGGTACAACATGTGAATTTTGCAAAACACTTTTACCAACCCTACGATCATTAGAAATGTTTGTGATTTTGTTTTTCTTTTTAACTTCCAAAGAAGATAGAGAGCTCAGGATTTAAACACTATGCTTCACTGTTCACATCTTAGGCAATGCAGCATTGTGCTAGTGTGTGAAAGCCAGAAAGTGGAACTGACTCATCTGTTTTTATCATCCATCATGTATGTTGTTTCCAGTCCAAGCTACATTAATGGTCAAAAGCAAACTTAGATATTTTCAAGATTCAGGTTAGTGATTAAATTAAAAGAACGTTTTAAAAACTTTTTTTTTAACTTGGTAATTGATCTCTCCTAACATTTTAATGTTATGTTACATTTCAACGAATGCTCTAGTTGAAGGCAGGGCTGAGTTTAGAGTCTGAACACCTAACTGTTGAAGCTCACTTGAACCTACAAGTTAGCTAACAACACAGATGGCTTATTAATTTAAAGTTGCTCTTCACCAGGATTTTTGGACATCATATGAAACCTGTAGTTCGATCTACTGAATGATGGAGTTTATCATGCCTATTGGTGCTCTGTATTTCCGCTCACTGTACCGAACATTGGAGGGGTGTGAGGGAGTTTATAGATGCTGTTCATTGTTAAATGAAAATGAGTATTCATCAAAACATGTTAAAAATTTAAACACAGTGACATCTAGGCTGTATAAAAAAGAGAATGTAGAAATCTTACTGAAAGCTCCAAAAAGAGACATTTGGAAGATATTGTCTGCTCCACATTTATACTTGTAGGATGGCGTTTCAACTGAAGTCATGGAGCAAATGAATAAACTGGGTGCTAAGAGCCATAACAATTGAAATGTTCCAAAAAGTAACTGAAACGCTCTAGGCACCTCTTCATATGAAATACTATTTTGTAGTGTTTCACTTCATTACATATGCCCAGGGACAGTACACTGGAGCTGGGCTTACCCCTACTTCCTCCCCACTGACTGCTGCGGCAGCGCTGACAGTGGGCCCAGCCCCTTCCACCCTCCCCTCTCCTCTATCTCTTTTCCCTATGAAGGGAGGGGAAGCTGAGACAGGAGCCGAAGGTCACTACAGCCTGCTCTAGCATCCTCAGGCCAGTGCTAAACAAGGCTGCAGGATTTTTAAACATTTCTGCCAGGAACGGTACAGGGGTGTAAGCGTGTCCCCTGGCAGTAATGTTTCAATTTTGAAGCATTACCAATGAAGCATTTTCAAGTACGTTTCACTTTGAAATGTTACAGCTGTTACATCTGTTCACACCCTGTGTGGCACAGTAGTAAGGCTTGTTAATGTAGCAGGAGTTTATTCCAGTTGTTGTTTAGAAAAAGGAATAAAACATGGGATGTCCCATAGTCCCCTGGTTTTCCCTGTGGTTTGTTGTTGACCTTGATTAATGTTCTGGTTACTGAATAATCTTGTGCTCAGCATCTACAATTTTATGAGCTGTTGATATCTTTTAACTTGCGTCTTTCGTTACGTGGGGAAGTAGGGGAAAGTTGATAGTGCTTTGCCAGTTGATTCACAAAGAGTTCTTGTTAGTGTGCATGGGGGCTGCAGATGCCTGACTAAACATGAGCAATACACTGATACCTCTAACATGGTATGATACAGGATCATACAGTAACATATAGTATGACCTGAAATGGTTACACTTGAAATACAATGGGTTTGATATGTTGTGCATAGTATCCCATTGTTTATTACTTACATTTTTACGTAGTTGAAACAGTCATTGGAGTTGAGTTTCAGCAGAAAACTAATGAGAGAGAGGTCTTAAATACATTGGTAAATAGAAAAATGTGGAGCTTCCTTATTTTGGGGACCAAAGATGATGTTCGTGTAGTGCACATATACTCTTTTTAATCTGAGCTAGTGATGTATTAGTTTTGGAAAACATTAATTTTGATCTTTAATTTGAAGAAGCTGGATATGCTTGAAGCTGGGATAGAAAATCATATGTACATAGTGAACATCCCATATATATGGTAGTGTAATGAAATAAACCCTTTTCCAACAAATTTGAAATTGATAATCCTATTGGAGATTGCAGTTGGCCTTCTTGGAAAAAAATGCAGGGATTTTTTTTTTTTTTTTTTTGTGAAATGTGCATAGAAAATACATGCTTAATTGCTGCTTCCTACTGGATTACGGTTTTGCTTTACCATCAGTTAGTCCTGCTCTAACTTATTTGGTAATCATAGAGGGATGATTTCTTATAGTTCATGAGAACACTGCTGAGCTTCTCAAAGGAACCCCAACAGCGTAAATGAAGCTAAATTGAACACCAAACTGATGGACCGTGTGGAAATTGGATACGTGAAACAATGGTGAGGATCAGGGTTTTCTTGTGGGGCAAATACCGCCCTCAGATAATTAGTGAAGTCCAGTGTATTTCAGTGTGTCGGCAAAGATAAGGGCACAGTTTTTTCCATAGTCGTATACATTGCATAAGAGTCGTATAACATGAATAAAATAGTTACTTATTGGCAGTGGCAGCTGCACATGTGGGTGGAGTTTTTTTTTCTCCTAGTAGCTCTATTATATGCACCTTTATCAACATCATGATACGTTTGCCACCTGGCAACATGACCGTAGCAGCATGCAAACTGCTCTGTGCCTGAGAGAATTTTTACAGAAAACCTAGTAGAGAACCAAGCACTTGGGGGGTGGTTGGCCTAGTAGTGTAGCTGGTTCCTTTTTCCTTCTGTCTGGTCCACTGGTTTTGGTAGTTTTTGGACATAGTCCTCCATTCTACTTGCCTTTAGAAACCTACAGATTGTCCAGAACCTGCTCTTTTTTATTTGTTTGGTGATAGATTTTTTTTTTTGTAGATTTTTTTTTTTTCCCCTCCATAAATTTAGAATCTGTTTTGCACAGAAGTCCTCTATTGTACCCCACAGAAATGCAAGCACATAGTTTAAAAGACTTGGAGAGTCTCTGTCTATGCTTCTTCCAGAGAGAGACTTCTAGCATTGGGATCTCTGAGGTCTCAGCTTCCCAGAATGTAGTGGTCTTTAAACAGTGGTCGGCCTTTATATATGACAGCCATTACTTCCAGGTATTCAAAAGTCTACAAGGCTTTGCTTGGCTCTGGTGGCAAGGCTTGTTACGGTTGTTTTTCGTGCTTAAGGGATGCCTGTTGTTTAAAGACTTAAATGCAGCCAGACAAGGACCTTAAAGATGCTCTGCCAGTGTGATCCAATGTTAAACTTTGTGATGAGCTTTACTTTAGGGAAGAATAACTCCTCCGGTGTTTCGTAAGATTTGCATTCAGCCTGTAGCCCATGGCTTGGAACCGTCTGGGAACTCCTCTGTTCTCAGCCTCCTGTGTCTGGCAGTACAAGATGCTGGAGGGAGCCGAGGAGAGTTGGAGGGGCAGTCAGCAATTTCTGGTATTTTTTTTTAAATCGGTGATTCTCATCACTCGGCTGTGGAAGGCTTCAATACAAATCTTCATATAAAAGTATCTTTGTTCCATTTGTAACATCGCGAGCTCTAGGGATTCTCAAAATATTCTCCTCCTTTAGTGGGAAGAGTGTGTGGATTAGTAAGAGAACTACTCTTCAAAAAGATGGCCCAGACAGTTGCGTGCATTTGGGTTGTAGAATTTGTCTCCAAACTTTTCCATGAAACATCAGGTTCAACCTTTCTAAGCAAAGGAAGACTTCCCCTTCTCGCTTTTAGCCTTCCTGAACTCTTGCGGGGGTAGAACAAGTACTTGCCATACC